GAAAGAAAGGCATTTAAGCAAAGTGGATAGGCAGAGGAATTCTTGATGGGGATTGGGGTGAAGCATGAAAAGAATAGAAAATCTAAAAGTTAGACGATACCTCCATATTCTGGAGCTAAATACCCAAAAGTACCCGCTATCCTTGTATGAACTGAATATTTTCCATCTGGAACCAGACGAACCAAGCCAAAATCTGCTATTTTGGCATGCATATCATCTCCAAGAAGAATATTGGATGGCTTAAGATCCCGATAAATGAAGCTCTGACGTGCAAGACCGTGAAGGTATTCAAGCCCTCTAGCCACATCCAAGGCAATTATAAGTCTTCTAGTCCACTCAAGTGGTTTCAAACCTTCCTCCTTCCAGTTGAATAGATGCCTACTGAGGGTGCCTTGGGGCATGTACTCATACACAAGAAGCCTCTCATTTCCGTCCAGACAATATCCAAGAAGTGCAGTTAAATTGCGGTGACGAACCTTCGTAAGAACTGCAATCTCAGACTTAAACTCTGCCAAAGCCTTCTCATTCATAATACTTGACTTCATTCTTTTCACGGCAATCTTTGTCCCACTACGCAATTCTCCTCTATAGACTGTACCAAAACCACCTCTTCCCAAAATATTTTCCTCGCTAAAGTTATTGGTGGCGGTCCTCAAAACTTGAGTCGATATGACCTTAACCACTTCTTGATCACCAGAATGAAAGTGATGTATCACTGCCGTATTGGGGCTTTGCACCGTACTTGAATGCTTTTGTTTTCTAGCATACAAAAAGATGCCCATTCCAACAGCACCCAATCCACAAATAGCACCTACCACAGAACCCGAAACCTTCGCTGTTTGTGATTTCTTTTGGCTGCTAGCAGGACTACCACCACCACTACTATCAGGTGTGCCAGGAGAAGCAGCAGGTGAAGGAGCATCTTTTCCTATGTTCGGGTTCCCAGCAGTTATGACATCCAGATTTTGCTTGAATGTTGGTACTTTACCATAAAGATTGTTGTTTGAAACATCCAGCTTACTGAGACTAGCCAGGTTTGTGAGCTC